CAATTTTCTGAAAATAATTGAATTAATTTTATTTGCGAATCGATGAAAAAAAATTGTCTTAAAATGTCAAATCACATGGTTTCACTGATCAATTGACAAGTTCAAGGTTACCAATTAATTTTTAAATAATCTTATATTGATTATTTGGAACGATTTTCCAAAACCGGAGTCAGTTTCTCACAGTGAGATGATAAACCAAATCTAGATTGAGTTGATTCGACATTGATAACTGTAAGAATCCACCCGAATGTTAAAAAACAACAATTTAAACAAACAAAAAAATTGCCGATAAATTAGCTGTGTTAATGTGATGAATTTCACACATATGGGTTGACAAACGTTTTATACCCCTTGCCTTATAATAGAACTTTCCTTGTTTTATGATAGAACTTATTAACAAGAGAAATGAGGCGTAAGTCAACCGTAAGCAAATGTCGTCTCATCGTAAAAACGCGCCTATTTTGTAATAAATCAAGTTTTTCTAATTCAACACAATTCTTATTTTTGTATTTATATAAATTTTGAATTCGAAATGATTTTACATTCTGTCGACATTTGTATCTAAGAAAAATAATACAAACATACGCTTACTATATAAATTTATAAATATTTCTATATAATTACAAAATTTATTAATATTTATTTTAAATTTATAAAATTAACCTAATATTAAAAAATTGTGCGCAAGAAACAAATTTAAACGCATAATTTTATTAAAATGTTTTCTTTGTTCTACGATATTTTTACGATATTTTTATATATTATAAAAGTTCATAAACAAACACATATAAAATGCACTATATTGTTACATTTTCTACTCAAAATTTCTTCATTATTTTTACATTATTTAACAAAATAACAAAATAATATTTTTAAAATAATAAATTGTAAAAGAACACAAATGCATTTATATATATTTTTTTTATTTTTGATATGAAAAACTTTTAAAAATTAATTTTAAAGGAAAAATAAAGTGAATAAAATTGAGTTATTCACAAAAAAAATGTAGGTGTAAGTAAACAAGTAAATAGGTACTGGTGAGTATGTAGTAGGTTTTTTTTGGAAAATTCTTTATTTAAGAACACGCATACATGCATATACACTTGTATAATTTTATTATATTTTATCTTTTCTGGAAATTTATACAATTGCATGTATACATACTTATGTATATTTTATTTTTGTTTTCATAAAATTTTATACGTATTAATAATGTCGTCTACTAGACAAATTTACGATGTTATTTTCTCTGAAGCCTTTTATTATAATTTCACCCAATTTTACAAAATTTTCAAATTTATAATACTTATTTGAAATATGATAATAAACCTACCTAAAATATTATGAACGTAAATGTATGTATATTAAAGAAATTCGAATCGAAAGTAACGGAAAATGACCGCATTTTTCTCCAAAAATTGAAAACACTTAAGAAAAATTACACGTTCTATTAGTTTGAACTGTCATTTTATTGCATACTTTTAGGAGAAAAAAAAATTAAAATAAAGGGGTTTATTTCAAGTATCAAATCAAAGGGGCTTATTCTGAGTTTCGAATCTATAAATGATATTTATCGTAAAGCTCCAAAAATTTTATTCTAGACCCGAACCATTTGTATGAATTGATTTGTGTTTAAAATAATAATGTTGAATTTTTTACGATTAAAAAGTGATCCCATACTCAAGGTAAACACCAATATATTCCGATTAGAAATTTAAAATATTATTTCTTTGTTTTTTAAAGATATTTCATAATTTTTAAATTGCCGAAAATTTAAATTTCGCAAATTTCAAGAACCTTTTAAACCGGGATACAAAGAACTCATAGAAATTAATTTTGTTCTTTGAAGATGAACCATTCGTTTTGAAATAATTGATGAACCATGCGTGAACAGGCAGATTGAAAAAATTTAAACATTTGTCTGTTGAATGTATAATAAAAACAAGTCATTCGCATTCAATATCACATATAAAGTCAACAATATATGTAATAACAATTAGGAAAAATGTTTTGTATAAATGAATAAATAAATCAAATTATATGCATGTAAATTATAATACTTATTCAAATGTATTGAAAATATATAAGAAGATCTACCTATGAGATTTACAAATTTACAAAAAAATACACAACCACAAATACATATACAAGTTTATATGTATGTTTAAACAAATTTGTTGAACAGAAGTTACAGAAAACTTAAACAATTATTAAATTTGACGGCTCCCCTCAGCTTCCTCCATGAAAAAGCAAAAACAAAAAAAAATGCAGTAAACATTTTATCAAACTTCAATCAAATAACTTGTACTACTTAACACTCCTTGAAGATGATTTCTTTTTATGTACATACATCTACATATTATAAGCTGTATAAACATATGTACATATGTACATAAAAGAACGAGAAATAACATAAAAAAAAAGCTTCATTACTTTTCGATAAACTTACGTTTCCGCCAATTAATGTTGACACAGTGCCAAAGATGATTGTAAAACGGAAATTGTAAAGTTATTTTGAATTTTTTGTTTTATTTATTATTTTCTTCTTATTTATTTTTGTTTTTTCTTTCAAGTTTTTTATATTATTACAGTTTTGAGGGAGAAGGAAAAGTAGAAAAACAAAGAAACAAAGTTTTCTGTAACACAAATAATTATTAGAGAGAATCAGTCATCATTACGAACATGCAGGAAAAAATATTGAGAAGAAAAAAAAACAATGATTGACTCTATTAAAATGTTTTTAAGAGCGAATATTAAAAGGTGTGTTCGATACCAGAGTACGCTTGGCAAGCATAAAAAAAAAAAAATTTTTTTTTTCTTGTGATGTCAACACTTTTTCTTTGTTGTTTTAAAGCAAACAACCGTTAAAATACGTATTAAATTTTTAACTATTTTTAAATGATTTTCTATAAAATTTTATATGCAAACAGCATTTACTCAATGACAACTACTCATTTATGTACGTAATCGATTTCATTTTCGATTTCATTTAGAAATTACAGAATTTTTTTTTTTCTTTTTTTTTTTTTCGTCAATATTGTATTCTCTGTATATTACATATGTACATACAAATTACGTTTCACTACATTACATGCATCATATCTTAAAAAATGTGCAATGTAGCTTATTAATTCAAAATAAATTACAATGTGAATTGCAAAAAAGTAAAATATAAAATAATTATTGAAAATTTTTGGCAACAAATTTTTTTTGTTGCCAATTTGACAAATGACTAATTGATCCTTTGTCTACAATAAAACAAAAATCTATTTAGAAAATTTTTGTATTACATTGATTTAATTTGAATGACAATATTCAAGTATGTATGTATGTTTGATAATAAAATTAATTATGTTAAAATATTTTATGTACATATGTGTATAAACAAATTATGTATATGTAAAAAAATCGCAATCAAATGGTGTAATTTTTACTATAAGTTGACACAAGCGATTAATGACATGCAATTGCATGCTGATACACAACGGCATCTATAGGCATTTTTAAAATACAAGTAAGTAAACGTATGTAATTTTCTAATGGAATTTAAAGCCTATATATGTATATATATAGCAGTAAATGAACCAGTAAATGAACTTATTTGATAGATAAACAAGTAATTTGACAAATAGTATTTTATTTATTTTTTTATATGAGTTTACATTATTTCTAGCGATTTTGTTATATTATTTGTCACAAAAATTTAAAATGAGTGGTTTACTCGTACCATACCACAAATAATTTTTGGTTAATTAGATAATTAACATGTTTAATATTCCAACTAATGAGAATTTGTGCCACTAAAAATGTCATCTGTCAACGTCAAAAAAAAAAATGAGAAAATTTATCAAAAGAATTAGACAGAACACAGAAAAATTTAAACATTTGTTGGGACAGATTAAGACATTAGGCTCAAGTTCCTTTGCCTGTTATCCTTATTTGTAAAAATTATATTTATAATAAAGGAATTCCAAGATTTTGCAATTCAAAAATTAAATGATGTATATATTTAATAAAATTTTATTTGTATTAAAAGATTATTTGAAATTTATTTATTTAATAAGATATCCACTCTAAATAAAAACCTTCTTTTATGTTATTAAACACTTGTAATATTTAGTTCAAGAAATTACACTTCTGACCAAGGTCTAATAAATAAAGTATTCTTAAATCCTACGCATAATTAAGAAAACGTGTATTGCATAAAATTTTTATCTCACTCTTATTATGCAATTTTATCTCAAATATTATTTTCAACAGTTCTTCTTACATACCAACTACAAAAATACAACCTTAATAATCTAAAATTGGATTCCATATGATTCTTATATAAAAACTTTTATAATTTAAGACCTTGATCTGTATGATTACTTGTAGTAATGCAAACAATTTTTCAATGATCCAATCTCGCCCAATCGTTTTGGAAAATCAAAGACACTGAATGTCTAATTTTGTGAATGTAAAAAACCTACATGAGAATACAATAAAATTATTGGCATTCAAAAGCGAAGTATCATTAAAAATTCACCATTATTGAAATGAAAAAAAAAAGTCTAATTAAATTATTAATTATTAGATAAATTATAATTTTCGTTTTTATTTAAATTAAAATAAATAATTTTTTGCCAAAATATCTGCACAAGAAATATAAAATTTTTTATTATCTACTATTTTTTTTTATATTGCATTTTCAAAGGTTCAAAAAACCCGCTACCACATAAAAAATATCGTAATTAAAAAATTGGGTTGCCAAAGTATATATAATTTTATTTTTTTCGTCAACTTAATTATGTGAATTGAAAATTAAAGAAAAACGAAAAACCAATAAAATTGTTGAAATTTTCATAAAATGAAAGAGAAAATATTCTATTCGAATTAAATATTCTTAGTTAATTTAATTTAAATTTTAAAAAAAATATAAAATAAAACAATTTTTCACTTAAAACAAAAGTGCAAAATTGTAATTATAAAATCATAAAGTTCAAAATAATTTTACTTACATCTGGATGTTCTTTGACTGGCACATAAACTTTTTCATTTAATGTTACTGGTTGCCCATCTGGATCAGGTAAAGATAGTGGCTCTTTTTGCATTCCATTTATTTGAAATAATGACGCTCGAACTTTGGCTATTTCTAAAATTAAAAAAAAAAATAGAAATTAATTTAATATTCTTGAATCAAGTAAAGAAAATTCATTTTAAAAAAATGTATTGTTTTAGAAAAAACAATTGAATTTATTTTATTCGGAAAATCGGTTCAAGTCGACAATTACCTCACTTATATGTCACTCGAGTCAATCAAGCAATTTTGATTGCTTGACATAGAATAGTTCAATGTCATTTTTGGGCTTTCAAGATGACATTTTAAAAATACAGCTTGAGTTTCGAAATGATTTCAAGTCAAGTACTCAAATTGCCATATTAACGAGGTAAGAGATTTCTGTCGCAGTCACATTTACACTTCTAAATAACTGGTTTAAAAAGTCCCTAACATTGTAGTGATAGAGTAAATTATTGAAAGAAATCATCTTACATAATTTTATCAAATCTTCTTATTGTAGATGAATCAATTTGTTTGCAGTCAAAATTTCCTTGCTAATTCCAGTTTTAATCCAATGTAATTTGTAATGGGAATAATAGTGATAATTCTTGCCTGAAACTCTAGTTAAGCCAACTCGAAAACATTCGACTCTAATAACATTGAAAATGAGAAAAGTGGACTGCATTAAAGGGGCAATTCAAAATTTTAAAATTTTCAGATCGCCATCAATACCGAAAAATCTGAATGTTGTTCTTGTCAATATCCTAGAGAATATTCATAGAGAATAGTGCAAATTCTCATAGAAGATAGCAAATTTTCATACAATACTCATTTCTTAAAATAATTCCCTCACCGACTCTTTCATTCAATATTATTTGTGAACGGACTAATTCGTAATTTCATACAGTTGATGTTGAATAATCACCTTCTTATTCAACTAAACAATATCTGCATAATATTCACTTAATATAAATTTTTTATTTTCATTTGAACTCGAATTATTGCAATTTTCAGTTATATTATTGCCGTCATCTGTTTCAGATTTAATTTTTCATTATTGAACAGTAAAAATTTATGTGGCATGAATCAAGATTTTAATATCCTTCAACATTTTTATTAATGTTTAGCTTTGGAATAGTAGAAAAAAATTTACTTTTTTACTGATGTTAGAAATCATTATCGCGATAATAACTGAGTGTATTGTATAGCACACTTTTTAATTCCATCATTAAATTAATATTAAGGAAATTTATTTATGTACATAAACATACAAACATACATATTTTACTAATTTCATAATGATTTCAAATGACAAAATTGTCTTGTAATTTCTACTAACAGTAAAAAAAAAAAGAAAAAAAATTTATTTACTTGTGAAATTAATTTGTACGACGCCCCCTTTAGAATGAAAATTAAATAAAAACAAAAAAAATTGTTTTGATGATCAAAAAAAAAAAATGCCTTTGTTTTTCTTTATTTTTGTTTTGCAGGTTACTTGTTTTTGTTTTGTTTTAACCTCGCATGTCACCTAATATTAGCACCCGCACAATTATTATAAATTATTATTAAACATACTTGTTGCCATCGTTGCTATATCATTGCTATCGTTGCATACTTATTTTATTACTATAAATTTTTATTATTTTTATTACATTTTTTTTCTATATATTTTTGTTACCTTCATTGTGTTGTTTTAATTTTAAATTTTTTTTTTTTCGTTTAATGTAAATTAATTTCTATCCGCGAATTATTATTAGAATAATAATTTAAAAGATAAATACAGGTAAAAATATTTTGAAAATTTGCAAATGCCTCAGTTATTGGTACATATTCAAAATTTTCATGCTTGTTCCTAATGAAAACTTTCAAACACGAAAACATGTAACATGTGTATACAAGGATTAAATAATCTTTAGATACTCTAAATCCGTGATTCCCAAAGTGGTCTATATAGACCCCCAGGGGTCCATAAAGATCCGCTAGGAGTCTACGAAAAAATATGAATTTAGTTCAATAAGTTTTTTATTTAACTTTCTCACATCAAAGAAAGTAGCAGGGGTCTATCAAAAATTGGAAAACACGACAAGGGGTCTACGATAGAAAAAAATTTGGGAATCTCTGCTCTAAATAGTTTTAAGAAGTTAAGTATAGGAAATTTTTTCCGAAAATCGAATTTTGCACCATCAACTTTATTAAAACATAAAGCATCTGACATAAAGTACCATCTTCTTTATTAAAACAAATCTTCTTTATTAAGACAAAAGTACCATCTTTGCACCATCAACTTTATTAAAACATAAAGCATCTGGTTAATAAGACAAAAGCTCTAAGAATTAAAGTAACAAATTATGCTTATTGAAATATAAAAGTCTGTTCTTCTTGAAACGAGTTATTGAAAAAAAACCATCCAACTCCTTCCTTTTTGACTTTTTCAATTATAAAATGTTGTAAAGATAAATTATTTAGGATTTTCCTTCAACACTTAGGATGTTTTCATTCCGAATATTCCGAACGACGTCTCGTAATGTTAAATTTTTTTGTTATTATGTCTTTAATTCAGAAGTTGCGAACAAAACAGGGGTGACTTTTCGCGATCAAAAATCAGAATTCATATAAAATACAAATATTTTAATGGGATTGCCCAGAATCAAGCCGCAAATTTAACCACTAGCAATTTTAAATAGCCTAAATTCCTATTTTACCGTTGGCGCTTTTTTTAAACATCAGCTGTTTCCATGTGTTTGGGACATTATATGCAAAATACTCTACAGTTAATTTTGCCGTTTCGCTGTTATTCTGGATTAACAACGAAAATCGTCCGCCGTTGCCATTCACCGCTATATTTTCGCAATGATTATATTCGTTTATTCCACTCCGTCATGTCCGAATGTTCCGTCAAGCTGTCATTGTACCAATCTTAATAACAATTAATTCAAAATTTTAAACCAATATTATTGAATGTTTTCTCTCTATTTATGTACGTACATACATATGTGTGTAATTTGATAAAATCATCAATATAATTATTGTGGGCTCACATTCATAAATTCAATTGATCAATTAAATAATTAAAAATTTCAAATTGCGATTAAGTAAATGGCCATTTTACTAAAAATGGTAAGAATCAATTTTAAAGGAAACATCCATAATATGTACTTAATAATGTAAAAACCTTATTTCTTTTAGTTAAAAAAAAATACTGGAAGCAATTTTATTACAAATTCGGACGATAATAATGGCTTTCCAAATAAATCAAAAAGTATCAACTAGCAAAAGAAAATACTTTTGACTTCCGTGCGCTAATCCTTTGCAAGAGATTATTTTTACATGACGTTTTTCCAAAAAATTAAATTTATTAGTCAAATCTATATTGTGATTAACCTAAATCGTTAATCACAAAGTCAAATTGACAATATTTTGATAAATTATTTGATATACATAAATTAAAAATGAAATATTCAAATTTATTTGAAATAATAAATTTAAATTAATATTTTGACATTCTTTTGACACTTTTTATTTTTTTCTTAACCTTCTTTACATACAAAAGCACACATAGTGTATGTACATACGAGTATGTGATAAAAAAAATAAAAATCATCAATCATATCTTGATTTACAAATTTGAATTTGCAATACAATTTTTTTCACACAATTGAATTTTTAAATTCAAAATAAATATTCAAAAAATTTTCCTTTTATAACTTTAAATTAAGATATAAAAATTCCTGACACGATCTTAACAAATTTCATATCATAAAAAAAAATATCATAATGCATTTAAATTAATTCATGAAATACATACTTTTACATACCTTCACTATTCAAATTTGTGAGTATGTATTTAGGTATAGTCAGGCACTCATTGAGTAATGAAATTTTATAGTAACTTGTGTCTTAAGATTCAAAATCATAAAAATAACAGCAAAGAAATACACAAGAAATCTAAAGAATTGCAAATTAATTTTGAAATTATAACTGTAAAACTGTTAAAATATGGCTGCTAAAGACAAATAAAATTTTGTGTTTCTTAAAAATAATTTACAATTAATTTTTAATTATTGGCAATTCCAATGACAATAAAATACAAATACATTTAAGTAAGGACACGTCACCAAAATAGCTAAATAAAACCACTAGTTTGACAGATGAATTAAAAAATAATGTTAGTGTTGACGTTAGTGCTGTTTTTACATGAGTTTTTGTTCTTTTTTTATGTTTTGATTCGATAGTGTAAGATTTTTTAATTCTTTTTTTTTCGATTTATTCAGTTCATTTAAAATTTTATTTTTTGTTTTTTAATATAGTGAAAATAGTTAACATAGTGGAAATTTTCTTATCAAAGAAAACACATGTCATTAAAAATGACACCTACAATGTGTGTGTCAGGAAGAATAATTTCACAGTTCATTGTGTAAGTAATTACAAAAATATTCTTTCATATAAAAAATTCACAAAGCGTTGTTAATAAAATAAAACAGTTGAAATTTTTATTTGACATTTCACTGTCAACATTTTTAATAATTGACACTCTCATTGTGTTTACTTTTAGTATGAAAAATTCAACAGAATATGTTTTTTTATTCTCTTCCAATGTGTTGACAATAAAGTCCTTCAATTCAATAAAGTGTGACCTAATCCAGATCCTATTATTTACATAATCATTCTCAATGTTCTTCCGTTACCAATTCGTTTTGTTTTGTCTTTTCTTTTTTTCTAAAGATTATTTTCATATAAAAATTAAGTATTATGCTTGAAAAAAAAAAAATTAAGTTGATTTTCTATGGAAAAAGTGAGGAAAAAAAGCGTTTATTTTCTCATTACATTCTTCATAAAAAAAAAAAGTGTACATACTTATATACATATGTATGTACAGGTATCTATGTATATTAAGGTATGTAGTACTTATGTATTATATAAACAAAAAATTATAAATTGTGCAAGGTACGATCGCAGTAAAACAATTGACAAAAGAAATCTAATACAAAAAAAAAAAAACAAAAAGTAATTGTTTTCATGTTTGCATTTCGGATTTTTGCTAATGAATACATGAATACAAGACAAAAAAAAACAATAGTAAGAAAGAAAGAAAA